CCTGGTTTCATCGTCAGTGACTTCAATTTCCGCCGCCAAGTCAACTTCTGTCCACCTCGAGCCTTGCACCATCCTACATCTGGCAGACTATATAAGGCCCTTCTAGGTAAGCGGTGATCAGGCTTACGTAGCACGTGCCCAAGTCAACCCAACTTACTCAGTGCTATCTGTTGTTCTAGGGAGCTAGCATGATTATCACCACCTAGTACTCGCCTACGTACATCATCGTTGCGGACATGCTGGTGCCATCCGACACCAGCAATGTTTCGCAGACAACAATGGCCAAAGACTTGAAGGCGCCTCAGATCTTCAGACCGGCCAAATCCTACTATCATAGAGCAGGACGGTCCTCACTGTGGCCATGTATACACGGCCTTTCAGACGGAAAGAAACTCACTTCTGTCGCCAAAGATGCTGCACATTCAAGAAGGCAATTAACGCCGCACGGACACTGTGGTGCGCGCCAGATACCTAAATGCGCAGGTCGATAGATTTGAGATTCATGAATGCGAACTTAGGGGACAACACAGTCATGGTACTCACAGGACAATGGCGATTGCCTCCTCCAACTGTGCGCCGACCGTGGCTTGTTTCATAGGAGCACTAGTTTCCGGCGTTCATGACGACAAGGAGCCACTTGGCAACCTCCAGCGCCTAGTCAAGCTTGGACGCAAATTGACCACATCCCTATCAGATACCGTTTGCAAGGTTGCTTAAGGGACTGCAAGTCAATTTGGAACATGTACTCGACTTCGGATCATGCGCTCGTGTGTACTAAGGTCGTACTGCGCTCTGGAGGCACCCAAAAGCGTCGCAGGAAACGGCATGACACAGACAAGGTTCTCGGCATATTTCCTAACATATTAAACTCTAGCCTGCGTCCTCTATTTTCTGACGCTGAGACACGCTGGGCACATATCTAGAGCGCCTTATGAAAGTCCGGTACCCTGATCTGTGGTTTCACCAAAAGGGCTGCTAGCTATTGGATCTCCGCAGTCTCACCAATTAGTGTAAAGCTATCGAGTAATTCCCGCTGGAGTTGAGTACAAAGCACTGCGAAAAACCACAGGTGCTAAGACAGCTACCCGGGAAGGATCGCGAGGTCTGATGGACAACGCATCGCTGAGATGGTGCGTGTACCCTCCTCAGGAAACCCGCAAACTTCCAACTGAATCGGTCCACAAAAAGCAGAAGGCCTACAGTGAGTGAAGCTTTAAGTGAAAATGACTGCGAACTAATTCATAGGCATCACCGTCGTCTGGTATGATGGGCAGAGTAGTTCGAAGATCAGTTCAACTGGCCACCACCAGCACAACCGAGTCTACCTTTACGTATTCACAGTGTTCCCTGGTGCGTGGATGTTTCTCCACCGAATGAGACTGAGACTTCCGATGAGCTTCGTTTGCTAAAGCACCACAGGTCACCTGGCCCAGATGGACTTCCTCTGGTCCTCTTCAAATATGGAGTTCCTACTCTCATCCGTGAGCTGACATCTCCCTCAGATTTAGACTACCGGAATCATCCCATCCGACTGGAGATTAGCGGATGTCGTACCAATCTACAGGAAAGGTGACCGAATCGTTTGCTCTAATCATCGTGGGATCAGTCTCAGTTGTGTTGTATCCAAACTGCTCGCTGCCCTACTCTCGCGGAGGATCAGTTGCGTACGGTAACAGGACCTGTCTGAAGAGCAAACTGTGTTTCGCCCTGGTCGCAGTTGCGTTGAACATAGCTTTACGATCTGCCAGATGTATGAACACCCTCATACGTTTAGTTGAGCAACCATAGTTGCATACTTGGATATTCGAGCTGCATTTGACCCTGTTGAAAGAGCGGCTCTTTGGGAATGTCTACTGAAGACGGGAGGACCTGAGAAGTATACCAGCATTCTCTGTGCACTTCATCGTCAGATCTCGGGCCGCGTGCTAATATATGGAGACTTTTCGTCCCTCTTCAGTATCACTAGTAGTATTAGAGACGGTTGCTCAGCCTCTCCCTTCTTGTTCAACTTCGCCATGGACGAAATCCTGGAGACTTCTCAGAATAACTCTAAGTCTAGCGGCATCGAATTGATATAGGGTGATCGCCTTCCGGAGTCTGAGTCCGCAGATGAGATCGCTGTGATTTGTAAGTCTTCCCAGGAGGCCCAGCATGTGCTGCTTAAACTTAGAAGTGATCGGCAAATGAATTTGCTTTAGGAGTATTGACGGTTTGACGGATAAGATTCCCTTGCGTGCCTCCAAGGCTAGAGTAGCCCTTATAAACCTGCGTCACCTGTGGCGTCGTGGCCTCAGGCTCGCATTGAAGGGCTGAGTCCACAATGCTGCGGTACGAGCGGTTCTGCTGTATGGCTGCGAGAATTGGTAAGTTAGCAAGAGTGATGCTCAGCAGATATCCGTCTTCAATCACCGCTGTCTGCGGAACATTGCTGGTGTTCGATGGCAGGATCACATCAGTAGTGAGGAGGTTCGTCGGTGAGTCTTCAAATCTGACAAGGTCCGTCGACCGATTGACAGCATCATTTCATTGCGGAGGATTCGTTGGTTTAAGCATGTGCTTTGCCTACCAACTCAGCTGCTACCAAGTGCCCTACTTGCGGGCACAGGCGTGGGCTAAAAAGGAGGACAAGGAGGCTAGTATAAAACCTGGATCCAATGCGTTGAGGCGCAAACGTCAAAGCTGGCCGTTGCTGTGCGTTCCCGACTTTCAAGTTGAGGACCCAAGGATCGGGAGCACATATGGTTGCGAGCCCTACTAGATATGACCAAAGACCATATACGCAAAGCCGCAATTGCTGTCAAAGTCTTCGTCACTGTCGTTTTCGCTTTTAACCTACTGTTTTGTTCTCATATGTTGTGGCACTCAGCGAATTGTACTGTGATTGGTCGTTGGATGTATATATGAACATGTATATATATATATATAAGTACATTTATATAAATTTACATTTGATGTACATAACGTTCGGTACGAAATCCTTTCGTGCTACGCTGGATTGCTTTTGACCTTAATACATGCCGCGTCGATCACGAGCTTTGGATGTCCGCGAATGGCCGACCTGAGCGAGTGCTTTCAGCTATGAACCAGTTGATCAGTTAAAATAGGCGCACCCAAATGCGGCGGTCCAAGTTGATTTGACGCGCAGCACAGGAAATAACAACAATGATTCAAGAGGAATAGAAGATAGACGGTATCATTAGGTGAAATGCTTAAGAGTCCGAAATGGAACAAATGCAGTAAAACTTGAGTAAAGAATCACGGTGGTTGACTGATAGAGAAACCGATAGATAGAGAAACCGAGCAGGAGACTCAGTTCAGATAAACTGTGTCGTCTTGTCGTGCGGGTCCATAGTAACACCAGTTAGAGACCGTGCAACAAGAGCAAACGGGGGTCTGATATTACCGTTGTTGCCTGTACTCGCTGATTTTCCCGCCTGACTATTGTGTCCCATCTCTCGTCTCTTAATGCCACTGCACTTCGTTAGTACTCCTTCACTACTTATTCATGAGAAAGTGAATCAAGGTAGCCAGAACTGGGCGATCTGGAGCCCGGTTCATAGGCAACGGCTGAAATGCTGCAGCATGCCAAAACTGAAGGAATGAGAAGCTATAGTTAACAACACATGGTGGACCTCAGAAATGTTCGTGTAACTGTTGCATCCAGGTGCATTGGAACGAGATAGTATACCTCAAGCCATCGAGATAAAAATCTGCCATGATATAGGTGTACGGAATAAATCAACTGTGGACGCCCGTCTTCGGGGTAACAGTGACTTACATCCGGATAGATGATTCTGACAGATTTAAGAGTGCAGCTCGAAGTTAACGTTCAAGAAAAATAAGATGATGATTAGGCAATAGCCGCCAGCACATAACTGTTACTGAAATGCTAGTGATGATTGAACTTTCCCGGTCAGTCATGTGGACCGAAGTATACATGTCGACTATTCATGATAGTAACAATGAGAAATTCAGTGTGCGAGTGGAGAAACCCAGTCTTGCTAAACAACTATGGTCCGGGCACCGAAGTGCGATGGATCCAGCTGCCATGACTCGTGTTACCAATGGTGGAACAGGATACAAAGGGAAAAAGTAAAAAGTAGTAATATCAGTGCAGATGGAACAGTAAAAGCTAGGACACTGGAGCGCCACTGACTGCATGAATGTGTCATGTCCGACAGGGTCTCCAAACACTGATGTAATCAATCCCGAGATCCACATCTATCAAGACAGCATGCACTAGCCTGACTAAGCAGAACGATCAATTTCATGTCTTCACATTAAGTCAATGAATAGCCACCTCGCGTTTTCGCCCAGCTTGGTGCCACGACAGCATAAGATATGCTGAGGGAGCGGGTGGCATTTTAGGGCAATAACCTTTTAAGACGAAGCAGCAAAGCCAACGGCAATTTGTAGATGGAAGTGAATAGGAGAGCTACTGTACTGGATAAAGGAAGACTTATGAATAGTGCGGAGTTGAAAAAGTTAAGGCCTGAAAGGCAAAGATATTACGGATGTTCAAGATGAAGTCAGTTTTACAACCCAACATTTGCTCAAGGTACGGCACATCATTACAACTTCGTAAATGGCTTTAAAACGAGTCTGTAACGGAGCGATAGCCTTGCGAATTGGGGAATGATGGTACTGTAAAATGGAAAAATTGCAAGCCGAAGTTTTATATGTCGTTTGGTTTGCTGTGAAATGGAGTCAAGTATGAGACTTACATCGTAAGAGACTAAAACGGAGGCCAGTCTAAGACCTGCTTCACGCTGGGCCACTTTCGCCAGAAAGCGGAGTAAAAATAAAGTAACGCAACTTCATTCTACCAAGATCTCAATCCCTGAGCTATCGAGACCGATAAATCCAAAGATTCTAGACGAAACGAACAGCCCAACCAGCGTACAGTGCCTACATATCAAGAGAACTCAAAACAGACGACGACTGAATGGTTGAAAGGTCTCTTTTAATTACAAATGTATCTAAATTCACCGAGAAACGGCTCACCATTCGTTGTCATTACTGTTGGCAGGAGCGTCGCAAATCCGTTTAGCACCTTTCCGCTTTCTTCTAATGATTACACCACAAATGGAGGCACAGTGTTTTCCCCTCAGACCGCAAAGCTGAGGTACACACTTCCAGTGAATAGGGCTCATGTTGAGAGACTTGAAGATTAATGATGCGTTCATCATCCCATGCAACCGGGAAGTTTCAGGTTCGTCGATATTCCATGTAAGTGACAACTTAGGAATGCGAGCTGGAGCGGCAGGAGCCTTAGCCATTGAGCTGCAGTGGCCGTGACTATCTACACCACAGGAAGGCTAAAAGATAAGCACAATAACATAGTTTACCTCGGTTGGGACAGACACTGACGATGATGACACAGTGCCAGCACCGATATTTCCATCCAAATTTTTGGGGTGATTTTGGAAAAAGGTCGCGAAGTTTCCGGGAAAGTAAATTGGAATAAGTTTTCGAAGTTGTTTGTGGCGCTTGGACAACTCCAACCAGGAGTGGCAGCGACCAAAAGGGCCTCCGCGCCTTGGGGGTCCCATTCTAAGGACTGCTGAAACTAAGATACGACAACGAATATCAGTACCTGCATCGAAAAAAGGTGGGAAAAGAATGACAGTTAGGGTTTGGCTAAAGTCCTCCGCCGATCGACGTCTTCTTGAGTGTTACGTTCCACTGAGGTCTTCTGGGCGAATAAATGAGAATTAAGATTGTTTTGGAGAATCATTTAGTGGATATTTGGACTTCCTCTTCCATGGCGTCCAAATGCTTGTCCTGTATGAAAGGTGTCATCACTCGTTCAAAAGCAGTGCAGTGCTCTGAATGTGAGGGGTGAATGCAGATTGTTGGCTGCAGCATCTGTCCTGATCAATATGTGCCCTTGCAGGGATTCACCTCGCCAGCCATTAACTTCTTTTGCCGTGCTTCACTGAATAGCAGGCGTCTTCTCGCCGGACTATCTGCGTTGAGCCTTGATTTTTCTTCTCCGACGAAGCCTGACGCTATTCGCGATTCATTTGTTCCACCGTGCTCACCATCACCATTTACCACCGGTTGGATCACCCCCATGGGTAAGTGAAGCCGAACCCCGTCCACTACTCATTCGGATCCACCTACACCGGTCCTGCCCATTGAGCCCACAACAAGATGTTATGCGGCGTTTGTGAGGAAAGGCGCGGTCTCCGTTCCTATTTGCAAAAGCCCATCTACAAGTGGCGCCAAGACTAAGCCTAAGCCCGTCGAGAAACCCAAATCTAAGCTATCATTTCAGTCTCAAATGAAGCTAGTTCTCGACAGACTATGAGGGCTGGAAAAAGTGGTCAAAGAAAATCCGTCCCTTAGAAAGCCACAAGTTTCTGAGCGCACCCAGCCATCTCGCGACTGTTGTCTCATCATCATGAACGCAGCGGAATCGGAAAAAGCAACCCCTGTGAAAAGAATACTAGATAACCAAACACTGCTTGAGCGGTTGTTCTCGTTGCTATTTGATGAAGGCAAACAGGGGATCAATATTGTATCTGCCTTCCGTCTTGGTAAAAAGAACAAGTAGATACCTCGAAGACTCGCCCACTTAAAATCATTTGCCGGGATGAGGAATGCCAACGCATCCTGTGACGGACCTCGCATCTCAAAGGTGAGCCATTCTACGTACTTCGTGACCACTCTCCGGAGGACAGAGTCAAAATGAAAAAGGCTGTAGAAGTGCTACGTGCTAGACGGGGAAGTGGTGAAACAGGCCTCCATATTGTGGGTTTGCAAGTATTTCTGAGGACTCTGAAAGCCCGTTGGAGGCTCATCCTCGTCATCCCCGGACAGTAAACAATAAGAACGGACTGCGCGTGTTATGCGCTAATGTGCGAAGCCTAAGGAACAAGCTGGACGAGATTCATTTGCTTACCTCAGACTCATCCAGACCTGATGGCCTTCACTGAAACGTGGTTATTCCCAGAAATCACAGACTCAGAAGTGTCTATTCCTGGATATCACCTCACCCGGTCCGATCGCCACGGCGGAAGGTCTGGTGGTGGCGTAATGCTCTATTGGAAGGCGGATCTCAAAGCGCATGTGGTTGAAGCTATTAGTGAGCATGATAACTGTTAGGAAGGAATACGCGATGCGAACAAGCCAGGACCCCATCGCCGCGGCAGGCGATCCAAACTCACCCGCAATGATTGGGGCGAACAGAGAGTCAACCGAGGGAAGCGGCCAATTAACGTGACGGCGGCGTTCCTTTATTGGCTGTAAGTTGACCTATTTAGAGCTTTACACATTCGCTTTAAATACCACTCACGGACTTTACATTTCACCTTTATAATGAACGGTGTGAGTCGCTAATAAATCCCTGCTGCTCTGCTCGTCCGATCCGGTCTTCTCTCTGTCCTGCGGGGGGAGGGTCAGCGACTTCGGGTTTTGATTGGGAATCAAGTGTCCATTCAGGCGAGGGACGAACACATTAATAAAATTTTGAAGCCCACTGGTGCAGTGTGCATGACGGATATAAATCTCGCTTGATCGGTGTTGTCTACAGGGCGCCATCAGGCTCCGAGGCTAGTTTGTTGGACTCGATCAGGGCACACGGTATGTATGTATGTATAAAACCATGGAAATCAGCAGATAAGCAAGATTCATCGCGTCATAATCATCGGGGCATGCTAGTTGAAGGTGAGCAACACACTTCAACTAATATGCCCCAGGAAGAATGGAACATTTTGATAAAAAGTAGAAAAAACATTGTTAGTTTGTTTTTCACACGCCGCTTTTGTTCTTTTTTGGTCATTTTAATGTTTGTAGTATTAAACATGTGAATCAATACAATACTGTACACAATTCTTCCATTGATTCCGGTTGCAGGCCATATCTTCAAGAGTGCTAAGCCACACGGTTAAAGCAAAGACTGTCTTATCGAGGGGGATTTCAATGCACCAGATATCGATTGGAAGTTCCTTATTTGTGATCGCCCATCCGACCACTTCGATGCTGCCTTACTCGAAACCGTCCTGGATTGCAACCTTTTTCAACATGTCATGACGCCAATCCGTATTTTCCCAGATCAGACACCGCACATCCTAGACATTGTGCTCTCCTTAGCGCAATTAGACATTAAAAACTTAGCTGTTATTGAGCCCATTGGCAGAAGTGATTACTGTGCTGTTTCTTTTCAGTGGATTCGTCGCCTCACTGTCCACAGCCAATGTACCGACCGTCGGAATTACTGGCAAGCAGATGCACTACGTTTGAAAACGGCTGCAAACGTTGTGAATTGGAGTATGCCTGGACACTTCAGTGTTGATAATGCGTAGAATCTTTTGTACTCCAAGCTGATGTCGCTCATCGAACAGATCGTCCCTGTCTCCAAGAGAAGACCGTTTTCTAAAGGTCCACCTTGGATAGATTGCCAATAAAGATCGCTTATGAACAAAAGGCGTAAACTGTGGAAGCTTTTTAAGCTAACAAGATCAAACTTCGATTAGTCTCGCTATGGAACAAGCAGGAATGTGTGTACTTGGCAGAAACGGGAGAAACGTCAACTATACGAACTGTCTTTAGCTACTCTTTACAGGACCACATCCAAAGCGCTTTTCTCGTACATCAAGCGAAGTACCAGAGCCGGCAGTGGCATCCCTGCCTTGTGTTCCCGTGAGCATGTTGCTTTAGTTCACGAAGACAGAAAAAGCCAACCTTTTAGTTAAGCAATATTCCTCTGTGTATTCAACAGAAACGTCTCCCTTGACAGCTTCTTGTCATTCCTTCCTTCTTTCCAAGAGCACTTGGATATTAACGCTGATTCTGTACTGAAACTGTTTCTTAATTTAAACCCGTATTCTTCGCCTGGCTTTGATGGCCGACATCCACTGTTTCTTAAAACTGTAGCCGAGCACATCACCGCACTTGTGTCAGATATTCCGTGTTTTTTGATATTGGACGTCTTCCGGCATCATCAAGCCTATGTATAAAGGAGGAAAGCGGCAAGATCCAGCGAATTATCGTCCTATTTGTCTAACATCTGTAGTGTGCAAAATTATGGAACGGATACTGAAAGGCGCCATGCCTTCATCCCGAAAAGTTAGATTTCATCTCTTCTGTCCAGCGTGGATTTCGAAGCGATCGCTCATGCATCACAAATTTGCTTGTGGCAAGGGAGAAATAGGTGAGGTCACTAGATGTTGGCAAACGATTGGATGTTGTGTTTGTTGATTTTAGCAAGGCCTTTGACAAGTTTTCGCATGAGCGGTTTTCAAACTTCGCGGAATTTGCGTTGCTGTGAATTTTCTCTCCTGGATGTCCGACTTCCTGTACAGTCGCTCTGCGCAGATAGGAGTGAATCATACGTTTTCTGATCCTTTTCCTATGACCAGTGGTGTCCCACAGGGTTCTGTCCTTGGCCCTGTCCTCTTCAGTATCTTTATTAACGATCTCCCGTCCGAGATGCAAACGGAATGTTTGATTTATGCAAATGATTTGAAACTTTGGATTGGGGTATCCAGTCTAGAGGATGCAGACAGGCTCCAAGAAACACACAACAGGCACCACGACTGCCCGATAAAATGACAGTTACCTATCAACCGGGATAAATGTTCCGTATTCCCGAATGGTGCTCGTGAACCACTCGGCGTGTACCATATTGGAGGTTTCTTGCTTAGAAATGTCGCTCAGGAAAGGGACCTCGGAGTAATTGTGTCTCCTTTTCTCAAAACAACTGACGACACACGGAAAAGGGTCGCCGCTGCTTACAGCATGTTTCATGGATTAGGAAGAGCATTCTACCGTCTTACTCCGGAACTCTTCAGACCTGTGCCTCACACGTGCGCTCGACTCTCGAGGACGGTTTGCTAACTGCCCAGCCTCTCACGAAGACCGAATGCGTATGATTGAGAAGGTCCAACGCCGTGGATCTAATTGTGTGCCAGAGCTGCGGTGTCTATCGTATTCTCTCCGTCTCCAGCGAGTAAACCTTTTCTCTCTGGATTACAGTCGTCGTCGCGGCGATTTGAGCTACACTCGACGTATCATAAGACGAGAACAAGGAAGCGAGTTACAGCAGTTTTTTCATCTGAACATTGAATTCATTGGATCATTGGATGATAGAGAGCAGGAGGAAGATCCTTTGTCAGCTCCTTCACTTCCCAATCATTGCGAAGATGGCATGGGTCATTGCGGCAGAAGGTTCAGTAGCAGCAGACCACTGTAGCTGTCTTAGAGGCAGCAGAATCCCAGCGCGCTCAGATGAGAATCCAACAGTTGTTTGAAACGTTCCTCTGTCTCAGCATCAACAATAGAATCCGGCAACCGGTTCCAATCATTCACCACG